GTCACAGCTAACCTATTTCTGTGGGACAGGCAGCAGTGAGTTCACTCATGTAGAGTTCTGCAGTCAGGGAATGGTAGTCAGAGCCAAATTTTTTTTTTTCACAAGCCCTCAGAAGTGATTTTTAAGAGAGGTTCATGAATACCTGTGGCTTTGCTGCTATCTCTTCATTACTTGCTCAAATGAGGAATTGCATACGAAGCCATTTTAGGATCAGATCTGCTTATCAACAGATGATATGTTATGCCATATGTACTTCTCTGTCCTCTTTTTTCTTAAGTTACTGTCACTTGTTCCTTGGGCAACCCTTACCTGCATCTATGAAGAAGAGAAATTCTTCAGAGACAAAGCAGAAGGCAAAAAACCCAACCATCCCAACCCCCCACCCCCCGTACATCCTTTTGGTTCCTGGTTTTGACCATCAACTATCTCTCACCCTCCAGTGTGCTATGAACACTTCTCATGGAGCAGGTATCTGGGTCCTCAAGATTGCCAGGACGAAAGCCCCTGTGTCTTCTCCTGTGTGATTTCATATTGTTACTCTCTGAAAATGGAGCTGTTGGCCAGCAGCAGTCCTTGTAATGCTAGGAGGTGCTTCTAAGGTGAATACTAGTTGTGATTTCATTGCTGGTAGCTTGTATCTTACGCTAACAGGACACAATACAATCCTAACGTTGGGCCTGTCTGTCCTATTCCTGTCCTGTTGTAGCTAGATTGGGAACGTACTTGTCTATTCTAACATTTAAAGGTTTCTATATTACCAACTTTGCCACTTTGCCAGTGCAGTACTGCCTGTTGCTCTTTCTCTGATCTTAGCAACTTCCAAATGTCATTGCCTCTTGATTTCATGCTGCTGCATGCCAGGGAATGGTAGCTACTGTAAGCAGCGTTTGAAACAATAAGGTGAGGTGCTGAACAATACCCTGCTGTTCATTATGGGAGATGAAGACCATGGTGAAAGCACAGGTCGAAGACTCCATGAGGATATTTATGCAATGTCCGATTCATTCACTACCAGTGAATGGTTTAATAAAAAACATTACTAGTCCATATTATCACAGAAGTACTGTGTACTTTTGCCTTGATCAGTCTGTGATGTGGTGGTTGCATGGAAATTATCTTAAAGGGCTACATGATGTTAAATGGTAATGAACTTAATGTAACCTGGAAGTTCTTGTGTCCTCTGAGAAGAACAACATTTTTATTTAGTGTAGTTTTTATTTAGTGTAGTACATTATGCAGTAATGTTGGGATGTCTAAAGCAACCTCAGGCACGTGGGCACCTGTTCCTCACTGATTTTTTAATGGAATTAGGGCTCCTGTTTCTGTTAGGTTGCTTTGAAAGTCATGGTTAAAGGCTTTTGAAGTTTATGCCTTAAATATATGTTATCAGGCTGAAGTGTTCAAAATCTTCTAAACTGTTAAAAATGTTGGATGAACATGTAAACATGCAGAAGGTGTAAGGCTGGAAAGCTAATACTAAAATTTCATGTACTAGTGAGAAGTAAGCTTTCTAAGTTGCCCACCTGCTACCAGGGGATGTAATATGATTGAGCTTGTATTTTCAGCCATAATAGAAAATGTCTAGAAACCAGTTTTCTTTATCCAAGGACTACATTAATTTCTAATAACATCTAGTAATTTAAATAAGCTTGTGCTGGCTTATGAATAGTAATAGACTATACTTCTGGTTAGGATGAAGGAACATAAATCATGAAGTGTCAGGCAGCTTAGAAACCAGTAGGTCTTCATGATTGTTTAATAGAGTACAAAGGGAATTGCCTTCAAGCTAGTGAAATCTACTCAGTTGACCATTGGTGATGCTTCAAAAAAAAAGAGAATTGTTCTCTTATGAGTCTTGGCATAAAAATTTAATTAGCAGCTGAGCTTTTTTTGAAGGTAAAAAAAAAAAAGGTGATTTCTTTTTATATAGTCACTTTCCCTTGACCGTTTACTTTGTATTTCTGTATTGTTCACACAGACAAGATCTGCTGCCTTTTTTTTTTTTTCCCTCCTTCAGTAATGATTTTGAAATTGTTTTACCTGGTTTCAACATTTTTTTTTTTTTCCCCCATTATGTTTCAGCATATTTAAACACTGTTCTCGGAAGACATTCAGAACACAAGTCAGTGGAAGAAATGGATACATAATCAGATTTCATATGTAGTGAATACAAGACTGCTGTTATTAAATAAAATAATAATTATAACAATTATTGCTGTCATTGATAGATTTGTTGAAATGAATCTTTCTTTAGAAGAGTTCAAACATAGTAAGTATATACTAATCAGAAAATAAGTCCTCAATTGGAATCAGATACTATCTATGGTATTTATTATAGTTTCATCTCTTTAGCACATGTGTTATCTTGCTCCTAAGGGAATTAAACCTTATGACTTACTATGACACTGCAAATACATGCTGTGATTCCTGTGAGAACCATGAATTTGATTTTTGTTTAATTTCACAGATTTAAAGAACTATACTTTAATTTTAGTTTTCTTACATAACAAGGAGACAGGAAACAAAAGAAGAAGAAGAGCCCCAACCCTTTAACTCTGTCGGCATTTGCTCATAATGTGAAATGTCTTAATGTCAAATTAATTAAATCTCTTGTCTAATGTGACACATTTTCCAAAAGTGCACTGGTGCATGGATATACTGTGATGACCTTGAAGCATGTATGTTTGTGTATTGTTTGGTTTTTGCAGTTAGTAGAAATGCTTCAAGGCCTAGATAGATCTCTTCTTCAAGGTGTTCCTTGGTATATCCATCAGTCCCAGTGCTTTGAGAACTGCCTCAAAGCAGTCATCAGACCAGCAGATACCAGAGGGAGCATGTCAGAAAAGATGTAACTGGCTGAAAGATGTAGTCATTGAAACTTAGTTGGCTTCTTTAATTTCTTGTATGCCCAGACATACATGTGTTTACCTATTTATTTATGTTTAGATGAGGGCGGTGAAGTACCTCCTGGCCACGCAGCCTGTATTACGTCTTCATAACAAATATTAAGTCCTGGACAGTATAGCTGTGAACTTTGCAATTCAGCTCTCCCAGGTGACACGTGTTGGATGTCATACCCAGGCCTGTGACTTTACTTGGCAACAGAACCCTTTCAACCAGCAATTATTTGCTTCTAGCTGCCATCAATATCTATGAAGACTGAAAGTAAAAATAATATACTTCAGGTTTTGACACATCTGAAATTCACCTTGCACCTTCTTTGGAGAGCAGGGTCGGACTCTGGATTTGAAGAAGCTGAGTATAATAGTAGATATTCTCCTTGCCACACTAGACTCCTTAAGTTTCTAGAAGAATCTAGTTGTCCATGTAGGTCAGTAAGGGAAACACATCGGTACAAGTGGCAAGACTGTGTTTGACTTGTTTGGTCCTCAGATTTTGTTGTTTTCCTTTAGGAAGAAGAGGTTGGTTGGGCTCTTCGGAGCAGACGAGAGTTTGGTACCTTTTGTCTAGTGGGAGTCTGAGTGTGCTCAGGTAAAGGCGGTCAGTAGAAGTGCGTGCTGGGGATGTGGGAGACTGTAGCTAATGCAGAGATCGTAGACTACAGTGAGAAAACGAAGAACAGCTAGTCAGTCCTCAGAAGAGATAAAAAGAAGGATTTCCTAAGACCCAGATGGCTGGGTAAGGCTTGCTGTTGTTTAGGGAATTGCTCACCTGGATTTGAGGACTTATCTTCACGGGAGGGAGTTGCATATATATGATTTAATTTTACTCTGCTTTACAAGTTGCTTTGAACTTTTTCTATTTACAAAGTCAATTGTTGTAGCTGTTACTTGTATAAAACCTGGAGTTGGAGAGGTTTAAAGCACTTGGCTTTGGGAAATTTACAGTAAAAAAAGCTTTGGGCCACTACACCTCTGTGTTCTGGCTCCATGGGCTTATTGGGTAAGACCAACCTGCATAAAACTGGTCCCTGTGTCTTCTCTAAGTAGGCATTCTTCCAGTCCTGGTAAACTAGCCCTGAAATGGTAATGTAAAGTAAAGGCAAAACTTCCCAGAAAGTCTGATACAACTTCAAAGCGAAGAAGAGTTAAAGGACAGTGAAGGTCTTTGTGGAAAAAGGAGTGTGGTTTAAATGAAGACAGGCGATTTATGTAGTCCTGAACAGCTTCTGAAACTTCTGACTACAGTCAAAGATCATAATTCTTGCTTCCTCTTCCAGTGCTGGACAAAAGATACCCACACAAATAATTTACTTTCTATATAACAGTGTAACCTCAGCAATTTATTTTCATGCTCTTCATTTCAAAATAACATAATTACAAAACAGTGGGGTTTTTTGGTTTGTTTGGTTACTTTTAGTTGGGTTTTTTAAGAGAGCTCAATGACATGAGAATGAAATTAAAACAGTTTTGGTAGAATGAGACATTTCTGATAGAGCTTTGACAGCCAAATCAAAATACTGGGAATCTGAAAAAAGGAAAAAGCGTGTTTCTACAAGCCCATCCTGTTTTAGGAGTAAGTCTCTTTTGGAGATATTCTCTAAAGTTACCTGTTCTTTCTACCAGTAGAAGGAATTGTCTGGGCTGCTTCTTTCTCTGTGCTTTGTGATTCTGCAAATAGAACTGTCATACTTCAAAGTCTGGATCTTGACGTTTGAAAGACACATTTTGTATTCAATATCTGGTATATAATTTCATCAGGGTGAAACATCTGCTACATGTGATTTTTCTAATCCCACAGTATTCTTTGCACACTTTTCCTACAAGAAATAAAATGACAATTTATTCTCCACAGTAAAGTTTGTGGGACTTTTATAAAGTTGTAGAACATAGACTTTTAAAAATCATTTTCCTAAATGTATATTTATGAAGGTTGTACTGCTAAAAAGCAGTGGGGTGTAGGATAGCACTGTATTATAAGGATAATTCATGCATGCTGTACCATGATTAACTTTGGGGGAAGTTTTAAATCAGCAGGACTCTTCTGGGGTTTTTGGTCATCATTTCAAGTTGTGAAAAAAATATATCTTAACTATTATTTTCAGTTTTACAGAATTTTTGGATCCATTCCAGCGGGTTATCCAGCCAGAAGAGATCTGGCTGTATAAAAATCCTTTGGTGCAATCAGACAACATACCTACGCGTCTTATGTTTGTAAGTACTAAAGGCTTATTCGTCATTTGGTGGCTGTAAACAAAGTGCACTTTCATTTGATAAGCAGTAGGAAACTTTTCAGAAGTATAGGATGTTCCTTTTATTCTAATGACAAATGTTTTCCAAACCAGGAATGTCCAAAATGGAAAAATCTAGGAAATCATGGGGAGTTTCTAAAAAGCAGCATTACCAGGTGACTGAATTTTTTTTAATTGATTTTACAGTTTAAGATTTAAGCTAGTGTTACGTTAGAGGGATGCTAGAGAAATGATTAGGGAAGCTTTTTGAATTAGCTGATTGTGTGACCTGACAAAACCTTGCCATGGTCTTATTAGTTTAAGTGCTTAAATTTTGAAATCCGATTTGTTTTAGGCATGTTAGGTGCTGAGATATTTGCCTCCAAATACTTTTTGGTGTGGGTTGGTTTTTTTTTTTTCATGTAGACAAAACCTCTGTTTCAGCTTCTGCCAACAATCCTGAGGTCAGTGAGAGCGTACTTAATATATCATAGAGCTGCTCTGCTGTCACCGTTCTTCTGGCTCTCCCCAGCAAAGCTCATGTTGACATGGAGACTGGCTGTCCAATTTTGATGGTTTGTCTGGTTATCAAAATCCATCGTTTTGATAACCTTCACTAGCAATGATTAAAAACAATAATAATAATCTACACATATAACTACAAAAGTACAGTAAGATAGACCACTACCGAAATGCTAAAAAATTCCGGGTATAGTTCAGGATGTTAAAACAAGTATGTCAGTCTTTACAAAATTTTCATCAGTCAAAGTGGAGATTTTGCAGGAATGGGCATGGCAGATGAGGTCAATCCTAGTACCCTTCTGTCAAAGCATCTTTTCCTGTGTCGTCAGTGAAGCCAGGGTTTTACTTTTCAGATTAAGAGCTTGAATTCAGAATAATTGCAAGTCAGCTAGGTAATTTGTCTTCAGTATTTTATTTATTTTTTTTTTTTTAAAAGCTCAGGCCTTCAGTTACGGAAACTTTTTAATTGAGTAAGGAAAAACTTGAGGGTACTTCCTACTTATGCCAATATATCCCAGCTTTCTAAAACAGAGGCTGAAGGCCTGGTTTTAAATTCACCAACATATTGTTTATATTGCATTAAGAAGAATCTCTATTAAGTACTTTTTCAGCCTGGACAGGTGAAAACACGTGTTTTTCCTGGAATGGAAGACAGCTGTGTAAAAACAAAAAAAAAACCCCAAACCAAGCATTACATTGTTGTGCTAGGAAGGACTGAGTTTCATTCTGCTGTTTTTCCTTATGCTGAGCATTACCTTGCTACATGGTTTTGTTGTCCTAAAGATGGGTTCTTTACCGGGTGTGCAAAAACTAATGCACACACTGAGTCGAGATACTTGCTTTATTCCATTTCTGTGCAGAGATGGGTGCTAGGTGGTATTCCACAAAGCAGCACACCCCGTTATCCTTGCTTCACATATTTATACAGTTGAACAAAGTCACTACACCTACTGTTAACACCTACTTGTTAGTCATTGGCCATTTCTACTTTTGCTTCAACACCTACTTGTTAGTCGTAGGTTATTTCTACTTTCGCTTTGATTTAAAGACAAAGCTCCCTTTAAAACCCCAAGGCATGCTCAGTGGGTAGGAATCTCCCTTTGGAGGTGGGTAGCTCTTCCAACAGAGGTGTGGGTTTTCATATTGTAATTAGCTAGTTCACTTAGGGGACACTAATTAGTGGACCTTGCTGACTAGTAAAGAGGAGTAAAGGGGAGCTTTGACACTCCAGGCTCTATGTTAATTGTTTTAAAGGTCTCTTGGCCTTCTGCTCCTCATTATAGGTATCCTGGTGCTTATTGTCTTTAGCAGGTTCCTTCAACAATCAGTCATCAGTTTATCTGATCTGTGTTTATAACTGAAGTGTTGAAGGACCAATAGTGAATCATTGTACAGGGGTTTGCTGCAGTGGTGAAACTATTTTTGAAACTTGTTGGGATAATCATTAGTCCTTCCTCTGTTCTGTAGGCAGTATCCATTGGGAAGCATAGTTCTGGGGTATGTGTAGTACATTTCCCTGTTAACCACTTCCCATGGAGCCAGCTTTTGGTATACTTTATGGCAGGTGGAACTTCCAGGCAGCTCTGAGTCAGTAACGTTTGTATAGTCTACGTTCTGTTTCTGGTTCAGACCATGACATCTCAGTAACTCAGTGAATGGCTTCTTAAACTAAGAAATGTAGTTAATTTCTACATGTTTTTTTCTTAATTCTTGAATTAAAAAGAAGAAAAATCCAACTGATCCAAAAAATCCCAATTGATTACAAGCTTTCATTATGTACAGAATTTCTTGCCACTAGCCTTGTACTCTGATATTGAAATGTATGGCTATAGTTTACCAGAAAGCAATCTCTAAGAGTTTATGAACTGCTGGATTATATGCTGGGAGCTTTGAATTCAAGAGAAATGTTGTGAATACTCCAAATCCAGATCCAAACTAGACAAAGCTGACCTCTGTATGGGTAGCAAGCGAGCCACAAAGGAATGAAAAGACCTGAGCCTTGTTCTGTGTCTCTATCAGTGGATATTCCTTGTCTTGGAAAGTATAAGGTGCTGTCAGCTTCTCTTGAATATATGGAATTATGTGGGAGTTCCTGCAACTTTAGCATATCTCTGGCTTGCCAGGATGAATAATGAGTGAGGGAGATTTTGTCCATGTTTCACAAAAGCAAAGCAATGTTGGATTATTTCACTGCTGAAAAAGAAAACGTTACTGAGATGCATCTGAGGAGGCTATTGCTCATTAGACTGTTGCCAGCTCTGTTATGGATATGAGCCATACAGAATTTTGCAAAACACAGAAAAAGGAGTCTTTAGCAAGCCAAACTTGCTTTATATGTGCATTTTGCTGCAGAATAAAAAACACCTTCCAGCTAATGCTTTTGGGTAAGGAACAGCAATGTACTGCAAACATGAATAGTTCTTCATCTCTCTCAAAAATCCATATGCTTGTGAAATATGAGGAAATCTGCAGTTTTACCATATTTCTGAAGATTGATTGTGAAGTGGTTTGGAACAAGCTGCCACTTGAATTCTATTCTTTGTTGATATTTTCTGCTGCTCCTGCTTGTTCAAAAGATTTCTAACTCCAATAAACCACTAGTATAAGCCTGTCAGCCTGGCTATATTTCTACATGTTCTTCAACAATGGAATGCAGGTATCTATCTTCTTTTCTTTCCTGGTGGCAATCCTTACTTTTTAGAATGAAGCTAATAATTCTAGGTTTTGCTTTAACCATTTTTATTTCACTCTTTGTCTCTGAAAGCAGAAATTAAACTATTGCTGAGGGTAGAGAGAAGTGAACATTTCTGGAGCAGTAACATGGCATTGGCATCCTAACTTAAAACTCCATTCTGTCTACAGTGTGTGTGAGATTCAGGTGGAAATGGTGAATCTTTTTGCACAAAACCTGGCACCTGCCCTTCTAAATGTAAAAAAGAGGAGCGGTGTCCAGACTGTGTTTTAATCTGCATGGCTTACTGAGTTAGGTAATATTTTTCAGATGCAGGTGAGGGGAATCTGGTCCAAGGTGCACTACCAAAATAATAAATAAACAGTGCATTTTCACAGCATCATAGAATCGTAGAATTGTTTAAGTTGGAAAAGACCTTTAAGATCATCAAGTCCAACCATTAACTTAGCACTGCCAAGTCCACCGCTAATCCATGGCACTAAGCACCATGCCCACATGTCCGTGTTGTTCCCTCCTCCAATACTCTAAAAGCATAAAATGAGGACTGAGATTAATCTGTGTCTATAAAGAGTGTCACACGTCTTTTGTTATAACGTTTCTGTCCTGAATCAGCGTCTCTGTTTCTTATCTCAGTGGGTCTGTTTAAGAAGTAAGGCACTGTTCAGCCTCAGGAAAGGCAGCATAATCTTACTTAAGCCCTGGCACCCCTTGTGCCATATACAGCTTAATTTTTGCCTTGTTTAAAAAAAACAGTCATTTTCACTTTTCTTCAAGGAAATAAATGTTTTTGAAAGACCTTAATTTGGTTTTGAACAGTTGTGATTGTGAAGAGGTTTGTAGATCCCAGAAAGGAATTGGTTAACTTAGACCGGAATCAGCAAGAAGCATAAGTGGACTACCTTGCCTACAAGTTGTCTCTTACCTCTGCAGTTGAAGGTCTGAGACCGAAGGGATGATGGAAGGACCAGCTGGGAACAAAATCATAGTTTCCATGGCAAGCTACTAGTGAAAAATGCCCTGGTATTGTGCCTGGGAGAAACCGATACGTCTTTCTGGAGAAAGACAATAAAAGCTCTGGGAGGACAGACTGCAGTATATGGACACTGCACGAAGTGGGATGCTTTTTGGATAACTGGCACATTTACAGTGAATCACCAACCACAGTCCAAATTGCTCTATGATAATGGAGATGCTGTTCATGGAAATCAAGAGTGTGCATTGATATGCAGATGCCATTTCAGGTTCCTTATGGGAGAAATCCTGTCCTGCAGCACTGACGATAAAAGAATACGGTTCTGCTTAACTGATGAGTATTCTTGCAGATGTTCAGGTGTTGTTTTTCTGGTTTTGAACAAAATCAAGCAGTTGGCTCCACATCCAAACACTTGTGAACGGAAGAATCATAAAGACATGATCTTCTCAATACATTCAAGAATGACAGCTAAAAAGAAAACAAAAAGTAAAATAAAGAGCATTTTAAAAGGTCAGGAAGTTGGTGGTGGAGTCTGTTATGTTGAATAGGGTCTTACTGAGAGCACAGTCTGGATTCGCTGCCTTCTGGAGCAGTGCTTAGTGTGGGAAAAATGTACAAGATGTGTATGGATCGGTGCACGAATTTTGTGGACTTTATAGACTGTTGCGTTTTCATTTATGAAGCTGACATTTTAAATACAGCTCCAGGCAATTACAAATCAATTATAACCCACAGTTATATTACAATTTTAATGTATTCGTTGCCCTGTAGTTGCAAAGACAAATCATCCCACTTTGCCTAAGGTCAGGAGTTTGATAAAGATCATTCAGCCTTCCAGTTTAAATGGTGCTAACTGGAACTAATTATTAATCAGTTGGACTGAAAAGAAATTGATGCTCTCACTCATGATATTTGTTATCTCTTACAGGCAATTTCATTCCTTACGCCACTAGCAGTCATTTTTGTGGTGAAAATAATCCGGCGAACGGACAAGACCGAAATTAAAGAGGCTTTCTTAGGTAATGTATGTCATACTTCAAGATGGAAAATGTGTGATAGCTCTCGGAGATTGATTCCAATTGTAGTCGAAGCCTTGAAGAAAACCTGTCTCTGTTACAGTCTATGATGGTAGTTTTCAGTGCAGTTATAGTTGCAAGCCATCTCACAAAAGCCTTTGTTTTTCTGTATGTTTCTAAATGTCCAAATCCTGTGCCTTAATTCCACAATCTAGCTGGCAAGGGCCAGAGTTCAATCAGCAAAGTCAAAACCATCTGAGAGACTGTTCAGGTACATATTTTTCTGTCACAGCCAATCTATTACTTACCTCTTATTTACACTTGCAGCTATTCCAAATTAAGGGTTTGACTGGAAAGTCCTGTGAGACTCAGCTGCTTAGTGTAGGAAATTACTCCACTCATTGTTTTCTGTTACCTTGTCCTGGAGTTTACTGTTCCCCATTGCAAAATCTGTGCTCATGGCTCAGCCTTTCTATTCACAAGCTGATGTTTCATCTTAAATTGCTAGTGGAGTTGGATGTGCACTTAATCCTGGACTGTGGACTGCTATGGCTGTGTTATGTGCTATGGCCTAATTCCAGTTGTAGGCAGCAGCTTTGAGCAGAGAGGCAGGTAGACTGTGGGGATGGTAAGTCTTAAACTGTTCCAGCTAATTCTGTCCGGGCCTATCTTTTGAAATATTTTAGTGATATATGCCCAGATCCTTCTTACATAGATATTGCCAGAGACCAAAACTGACTAAAGCACTTTCACTTGCAGAGGATACTTTGAAGCACTAACAACTGCAAATGTTTTTGTTGGCAGTATGCTTGAAATATGCCTAATTCTGGAATTCTGTTTAACTGGCTAATTTACACTTTAATTTATTGGCCTTTAGATTGTAAGGTCAAACTGATGCTCAGCCTTGCCTTAGCTAGACAGGATGTAAATGGTACTGTGTATTTTGCTTTGAAAATTTTTTTTAAACAAGGCTGGGTTCCCATAGCTTGTTCTTTCTCCAGTTGCTCTAACACAAGTGTGAAGAGATCCTAGTTTTGTTTTGGCTGCTGCCAGTCAGTTGTAGTAAGTTCTGAAATGTCTTACAGTGATGTTTTACTGACAAGTCCATTCAGTAGAAATAACTCTGATTCATAAAATGCATACAGTCACAGTGCTGAGTTTCACTTTCTGTTGTTTAAGAAGGAAAGGAGCTTTGGGTTAGTTTCTCCATCACTTATTCTCACCTTTTTGTTCTAGAGAGACATTCATTTTTTCTGCTGTTCTTGCCTTCTGTTATGATTCACTCTGTAATGTCCAGGACAAAAATTGCCAGCTTCTCCAGTGTTCTCCTTGCTACCCAGACTTTAAGGAAACCCCAGCCTTGATGTTCTGTTCTGCAGGGTATCCCTGTTGAGTATGTGCCATAAGTGTGGAACTTCTTCTGACTTCATTATGTTCAAGTGTACTGTACGTTAATATGATTCAGTCTGTTAATGTGTCTGGTGATGTGAAGCTGACGTGAAGATTCATTAATTGTGGTGGAGCTTTGCTGATTTGCTGAGATCTGGCACATAATGTTCATAATGAATGATCAGGAAGTCCCCCAAAAGGTGAATTTCTTTAGATATCATATGTAGAAGAGATCAAGGGTTAAAAGGATGTGAAATGGCTTTGCCCCTCATATAGCCATTAATATAAAGAAGGTGGTTCATTGCATCTAGGGTGTGGAGTGGTTAGCTTCCTAATGTAGGTACCCTTAATCCTTCCGCTGAAAGTGCCTACCTCTCTCTACTGACTAGATTATATGCCTTTTGGTGGGCAGTATGAATCTTTCCTACAGGGAACAAAATGAGAGCAAATGCAATTTGTTTATCAGCTTACGTTCACACTGTCAGTTGATACTTGTTGTTTGGATTGCTGTTGTAAGGATATGCAACAGTGAAAGCATGGTTCAGTCAGGTATGTAGTGAACAATCAAGACAATGCTCAATCAAAAGACTAAACTTCACTGTGTGTCTTAGAAAGCAGATATCTTTACAGCTCCCATTTTTTAAAAAGGAGAATGTAGTGCTGTGACGCTGCTGGTCATATGCATCTGACTGGAAAATTTCAATTCACCGTGCAATCACCATAAATAATCAAGAGAAAACAACTGAGAGGAAAAAGAGCATGGCATTGAGTGGTCACTGTGAACATAGGTGTTGAAAGTGGAAGACTTTTTTTGAACATTATCAGTGTCTCTAGGATTGACTTGTTCCATTATTTTTGCTGGCAGCTGTTGCTATAGTCTGAGAAAACCCTTCATTTTGCTTTCATGGAGGACCTCTTTTTTTTTAATGTGAAAAATAAATCCTGTAACACATTTTTATGATCTATAATATCCTCAGGCAAAGATTTTATGGAGACAGGATGAGTGCTGCTGAAGTACAGCATCTGGGGCAGCAGTCCAATGAGAAAATAGCTCATGTAGCTGTCATAATCAAAAGTTATATTACTGTAACTGTTCTGCTGGAAATCAGAGATTTGCCTGTTTTTTTTTTTTTTCTAATGGGAAATAAAATCCAGTGGCTCTTGTGTTGTAACAGGGAGCTATGGTGTGGACTGCAAAATTAAATCGGTTTTATTCTAAAAGGAGTGTATGCACTGGATCCAAGTGCCACTGAAATCAAGGCAGAGATCTCCACAAGCTTTAGATGAGGTTCTTCGGAAAGTCTAGGGACTCGGCATGTGAGTACAAATGAAGAAGATGATTCTGTCATACCTAGTATGACAATTCCTGTTTATTATTTCAATTTTATTAGGAAAATTGGTTAATCTTGGGAGCAAATGTAAGAAGATGATGTCAAGATTTGTAGTCAAAACATCCACATCCTTTTGAAAGAAAAACGAAAAAGTCATCCAATTCTAATTTTAGCCAAAAGGTAATTCTTTAGCCTGAAAGTGGACTGTTCAGTTGGGTCATGCATGTACATATATATACATACATAAACACGCATATATGTGTATATATATCTTACATATAGGTCCATACAGGAATTCTCCTTGACCCAAAGAGCCTAAGATTTTCATCTAGTAAATTACAAAACTGATAAATACAGTACTTGATTCTCTAATAATTGTTTCCGTCTGATGATTTATGCCTGTGCAAATGGCGTGATATGAAAACCGGCTTTGCATAAGGAAATAAGATTTCTCAAGAGCAAAAGCAGAATGAAGTCAGTCGTGATTATTATCATGCTTTGGAGTCTGTCCTTAGTCTGGGTAATAAGAAAAACAGTGGGCTGCAAAGATCGTTCAGTTTTCAGTCTAGTAAAGGTTTCGGTCTGTAAATCAAATGCTGTAATGCTGCAATTTATAGCTTGGTATTTAGGTTATTATTGTTCTGTTTGTTCATTCTGTTTTGTAGCTGTTTCCTTGGCTCTAGCTCTGAATGGCGTCTGCACAAATACTATTAAATTAATAGTGGGAAGGTAAGTCTTGTCATGTTATAAATGATGGCTTTAATTGTTAAGAGAAATGAAAACAGAGTTGACAAATACAATACGTCTTAATAAAAAGATAGCTACTGCTCCAAAGCACGTTGAGTTAGAATGGACCCCTTTCCCTGGTGCACGTGTTGTACAACTTCATTATGTGATACCCAACTGTGGTAGGAATCTATGGCATTGTGTTTTGTTATTTGTTTGAGCGGTTCGCGGATCCAGACAAACGAGAGCTTGAAAGGAAAGGTGTGAGCTGAAATCAGTTCATTAAATTGGAAACACAGAAGGGAAGAGTCACAGCATGTGTAGATGCCAGTGCCACTAGTCTGATTAAATAGGAATCAATAGAGTCTCTGTATAACCCAGTGCCTGCGTTTTGTGTGAAGCATATTACTGAATGGTGTTTCCAGGTAACATCAAGATCCATGGCAGAACAAACCTTGGAGCTAAGCAGTAAGTGGACTCCTAGGTAGGCCGTTTTTTAGGGAAGCATAAATTTGAATGGAGGGCTCAGAAAAATACTAGCAAACAAAACTCTCCGGAAAATAATTTTTAGGTATTTTTTGGCTCTTTATCAAAGTTTTGAATAATTTCAGCTGAAAAATACATGTTTGACTTGAAGTCATATGCTATTAAATGAGTCCAATGCTGGTTTTGTTGTTCAACTTGACTTGTTTTGCAGCATTGAGGAAGCATTATTTGTGCTTGGTTTCTGATGAACCCTCTCTGCTACAGTACTGATGCCCTGACAATAATGGTGCTTGGCACTTTTATTTTAAGAGTGCTTTCCAAATATAATTAAGAATGTCTGCACCATCTTCTTCAGGCAGACATGAGCTCATTTTGCCTGCACTCTAAGCCAACTAGTTGCTCTGTCAGCTTGTCTCTGAATCTGTGGTCATTTGCCTTGCTTCTCTACATGGTTTATTAGCTCAGGATCAGTATGACACCAGTCAAACCTATATGCTATCACTGAGTTCAGAGCAGGGTCAAAAGAAACTCGGAGGTTTGTTCAGTGCAGTTAGAGAGTCAGCATCAAGGCTGGCGTTAGAATTTGGTGGTTGTTTTGGTGTCAGTCTTGCAGCCTAAGTTGTAGTCCTGTTCTCAGCTAGATGTGTTGGCAAGACTTGTGCAACTTTGTGGGGTTGCTATGCAACTTTGCTCTGTCACTGTAAGTGCTGTGCAAGATCGATTGCTTTAGGCAAGAGTAGCCCTGCATGTTTGTTTTCAGACACAGCTCCCACTTCCATGCTGCACTGGAAGCTTTCCTGAGAGAGCCTGCCTGTAAAAAAAGTGACCTTGAATTGATTATTCAAGGAAAATGAAGCGTTTCTGTTGCTTTGATAAGGCAGGAGGGAATGAACTCTGTATGTAATAAGCAGTAAATGTAATAATCACTTTGAGGTTTATTTGTTACTACAGCTTTTATATTTTTAATATCCATGGTGTTTTTTGTAGACCGCGTCCCGATTTCTTTTACCGCTGCTTTCCAGATGGAGTAATGAACTCTGAAATGCACTGCACAGGTGATCCAGATCTGGTGTCTGAAGGCAGAAAAAGCTTTCCGAGTATCCACTCTTCCTGTAAGTTCATTTAAATACAGTGCCTTTTTTTGAAGAAAGCTGTCTTACCTATGTTTTGGAATTGCTCTGGTCTTGTTAGATCATGAACCTGATTTTTGCTGGAGGGTCCTGCACTTCTGTCTTAGGTCACCGCTGCCAGAAGTTTCCTTCTGGAAATAAAGTTGTGAGCCTGTGACCCTTCCTTATCTTAAGAACCACCTGACTTCACCAAGAGCCATAGCAGGAGTATCAGTAGAGTGAAGCACTATTCAAGATTAAAGAAAACAGCATGGTTCTGAGGGGGTATCTGTTTCCTACTGCAGACCTCTGTATGCAACCTTTGTCTCTATAGTAAATATTTCTTTTGTTATATTCCATTGAAGTATGAAATGTGGCAAGGCATGTTTGACCTGCATAGTTTTGACAAGATCTAGTTAATGTCTTTCGAGTACTAGATCTATTAAACCAAAGTTCAAGTCACAAAGACAGTTCAACTGCTTTTATCATTAAGGTTGCTTCATGGGAGGTTGTATGCTTGAAGGTGGAAGGGGTAGGAAGGAAAACACAGAGATCACGTTGCATCATTTTGGTGCTGTTCGTCCTAATGAACTGGGTACAAAGTGAGGTTCAAGCAGTCCCTATAGCACTAGAAGCTATTGTAATATGCCAGTAGAAGGATGATTCTTCCATTCCCTGTTTTCTTACTCTTTTGACAGTATCCACTGCTGGCTGTGGCTAAGGAAGGGATCCTTGTCTGTGTGGGCCTTGATTCTGAGGGGTTCTTATACTTCCATGTTTCAGATGTCTGTTGCCACTAGACTGCTTTGCGGGGGCACAGGCAGGAGTAAATAAATGGTAACTCTGTTCCTAGCTCAAGCAAGCAGAGGAGAATAGGTAGAATGTCCTAATTTTTCTGTCAGCATGACAGCACAGAGGTACCATGCAATGGGGGAACAGGTATATTGATAGTGTCTTATTTAGAGGAGCAGGTGGGCAGGAAACAGCGAAATTGTGCACAGTTTGGACTTTCTGTGGTTTCTTGTCTGCTCATAGGACAGCACAGTCACTTGTCACTCCATTTGGCTTTGAGGTGGTCCTCAGTCCAGGTCTGATGGTTTGATCGGTTACTCCTAGCTAACGCTGTATCCTGACAGACGTTTAGGTGCCTTTGTGAAAACTCCTATGTCTGATTTAATTAATTGTATTAACTCAGATGTTTGCAAAGGTTCCTTCCTCTGTCTTGAGGAGCTGCCTTCTAGAGTGCTTTATGTCAGGTGTCTGATAAAACTTCTTTTCATCTGTAAAATAACTTGATTACTGTGAGCTTTTTGGGGGTTTTTTGGCCAGTATTGTTTGTTGCCTTGTGCTGTTCTGTTTCTGAGAACTGCCAATTGAGTACCAGTAAGTCATATCTCTGGAATTTGTTTTTCTGGTCTTCTTTTAAAGTAATAACTTCAGAGTGTCTAACTGTGCAGAATTACATCTTGCAAACCAATTGTGTAATGAGATGAATGAAATTCTGAGCTGATCTTGCTTCCTTTTTCTTGTTTGAGTCCCAGAAACAGATAAGGGAGTAGTAGACATTTGTGGATATGTTGTAAGCTTTACGGTTGTAAACAATAAACCAGTTTAGCTGTCTCAAATTTTGTTTATAAGCTTTGATTACATTAAAGAGACAATAGCAGAATATATCATATGCCATTTAGAACAAAAGCTATTTAGTGCTATTTGTAGTCTGTCTTCAGATCTGGTTGTCACACTCAATCGCAGTCCTCTTGGTTAAGTATTTTGTCAATGTGCAATAAAGGCTTAAAATAAGTACATGTGTACACTGATGTACTAGAATTTACAGATTAGCCCTGAGCAAGGGTTATAGTTGATCACTTTCCTTTACTAAAATGCAACAGATTACTCCAGGGCTGCAAAGTGTACTTGCAGAAGACACCCAGTGTGCTTTTTTGCACAGACTAGAAACACTGTACGTGTAGCGTGCTCTGCTTGGCTCTGGCACACATCCTACTGCTTGTCACACAGCGAAGTGCTTGCTTCCTTGTGCCAGTGGGGCAGCTGTAGAATGCATACTGGGGTTTTACTTTTAACTGGTATTGGTTTTATAAGCACTGAGTTATGTTACTGTGGCTCACACAAAATTCAGTTGGAGCAGAATGATGGCCCAGTGTATTTAGATCAAAATTATGAGAACAGCTTTCTCCTTCACTGACTAATATATTAGCATGTGGCTGAGTTGACTATATTTCCCACTACAAAGCCTTTTATTACAATGTGATAAGAAAGAAAAGATATATATGCAGTAGTTTTTATCTGTTAGTGAGTGTATGCTAGAGTGAGGCAATTCTGCAGCTGCGTGAAGTACTTAGCTGTTTGAAGCCTGATGTTATAATATCTAAGTCTCTGACAAGACTGTGTTTTGAAGCCTTAAAACCCATACATATTTTAGTCTCATAATGGAGAAGGAAATAATTTTAATGTGATAATCTTACAATGCTAACCTCTGCTCCTTCTGTGTAGCAAAATTACTTAGATAACCAGGATTGTCAGTATTATTTTATCAAGAATAGTTTATAGTTGTGATAATAAATTTAGTTTCTTGCTGTTACTTCATTCCCCACTAGACTGAAGAGTGAAAAGCAAAAACTAACATGGGAAACAACACTATGCTACCTTCCTGGACCTATGAAACAATGAGAATGTTGAGGATATAGTAATTCATGTTTGGAAATTTTGCCATAATTCTACATTTTCAGTATTTTGTTTTGTGTAATGTATGAACTATACCTCCTCTACCTCCCACTCCCTGTGAAAAATTACTCTCTTATCTCAGTTTTAAAAGGTGTCCTTCCTGTCTTCTTAACATGTAGGTAATTGCAAATTTTCCTTCTGTAAACTCAGTCCAAGATTTTTTTTCTTGGCGTCTTTCTCCCTTCCTTCAGCATAAGATTGCTACTAGGTAAAATGAAGGAGTTCTGTTCTTCAGACTTCTGTCATTCTTTCTCTGTTGTGGAATTCATGACGCAGCACCAAAAAAAGGGTTTTTGTTTCTATTACTGTTTGTGGGTTTTTTGTTTTTTTTTTTTTCTATTTTCATGGCTGTGGAATCATAAGTGGGGAGGATGATAGTTGACATAAACTATGGTACCTCTCTTGGAGTGATAGTTACAAGTAGCCCACTAGAGTTTGGTATTTTCTACTTCACATGAACACATGAAGAAAATAAATCACAAGGAAAAGCTGCCAGGCAGCTCATAAAGAGAGGTTAGAAGCTTCAGTCAAGAGCCATTTGCAGCTTCAAAACAGTTATTCTTAGAGCATTCCTTGGACAGGCTGTCAATCAAAAGCTTTGTTATACCAGGATCTAAAACCTCATCCATGCAAAATGAGGCCTTTAACAAGAAAGTCTGTGGTGCTGTGAATGTCGTGCTATAAGAAGGTAGTGCAGGGATGTGTAACAAGAGTGACAGTACTGACACTCCCAGATGGCCTGACCTGACCTTGCGTACTCAATAAAAATGTTGTGAACTACCTGTCTTCCACTTTGAGAGTCAACTTGTGCCCTGAAGGAGAGTGCGTTCTCCTTACTCTAGAGCACAGATTATTTTCTTGGCTTAAATTACCATGTCTTTCATCTCCCTGTGTCAGAGAGGGCATGTAATACAAATAAGAAAAATGTATGGAGCAAAAACTGGTTGGTAGAGCCAAAGAGTGACTTGCAGATAGATGCAAACTATAATTGCCTGAAACAATTGAGGCATTTTGTTCCAAACCAGAAAAGGAGGTTGTTCCACATGAAGATGGCGGTGTTGTTCCCACCTTCTCTGAATGAGGAGCAGAACTCTGCCTGCAGAGGCTGCTGAAAATTTACTTTGAGTTGGCATACCTCATTTGAGGCTGCTGTCTCCTAGCGCTTATCTTTTGATGTCCTTTTTTGGAAAGACTATGGAAGTTAGGCAACTCCTCCTCTTGGTAACTCTTTATAACAGCAACTTGAGTTTAGAATCTGCACAAGCACATCCCAACATTCAATGACTCCACTGAAATTCACCCAGTAGTGCCATGTTCTAATGGATCCAAGAAGTCCCTGGACCTTCTGGATTGTTTGGAGCATATTTTGCCTCTTTTTTCCAGTTGAACTGCCAGTATATCTTGTTTGAGCGAACCAACACCTGGGAGTAGGGAGCCAAGACTCCTGCCTGGGTCCAGTAGCTCAGAGGTGTTCCTGAGTCCCAGGAATGTATATGTAGCTATTCTGACCAAAATGTTTCCAAAATGTAGGTCTCTCTTCCCATGTTTAGTATTTCCATGGCTCTATTATCCATTGGCTGTTTTATGCTATGTAAAGCTACTGCCTGTGAAGATACCATGCAGCTTCTCTATGTCCATACTTCATAGAAAGAATTGTGTTTATGAAGATAACAAATGCAGGATTTCTTCTTCCTGCCTGTGTCCTTCCTGTGTGTCTTTTATAGAGTTATCTTGCAGAGAGCCTTTAGGCAGCCTGCCTTGGAGATACCCCTTAACATCCTAACCTCTCAAGATACGTGAAATGAGCACACATACTCTTCAAGGTTTGTTCTGGCTGTACTGTGCAAGCTTGTTATCCAAGTAATAAGCAAGTCTGTCTCAAACATGGCCCTGAGAGTCGTGGGAGTTACTGAACGTCTGAAAGCCAGTTATACCATCTGAAAGTGCTGACCATAGTAAGGAGTGGAGGAAGTCAGCCATCTCTATGGTGAGCTTCTGAAGACACTTTTTCTTGGGTTTGATGAAGTATGATGGGAACTGCCCTTTGCTGTATTTTTTTTTTTTTTTTTTGGCATTGTGTTTCCCCACTTCAACCTCCTGATGTGCAGCAGAAGTGAAAATATATTGTTTCCTCAGGTCACTCCTTGCAGTGCTGGAAAGTACGTAATCCAACTGCTGATGGACTGATACAAGACCCTTCACGATTTTTCTTCCCTTGCAGCAAGATTTAAAAGCAGCAGCAAGCAACAGATAGAAAATGA